GCACCGATTAAGAGATTCTGGCCGTTGATCTTTGCTATCTACGGTCAGTATCGCTTAATTTGTGTAAGTGGGACCTAGCCCCGGTTTTCAGCACGTGCTGCTCCCCAAGAATATAGATCTGAGCTTGTATTTTATTACCAAAAAAAAAAGAAAAAAAAAAGCAGTGGAAAACTAAAAAAGGGAACTAAAGTGACAACCTAAAAAAGGCCTAAAATCCCTGTCTACGGTGGGTGAAGAGTTTGGGAGGTCGGACCAGCGCTCTGCAGCCCTGACAGGCGCGCTAGGGCTTCAGTCATGAGCGTGGGGCTCAGCGCCATAGCCCAGTGCGCGAAGCACCGGCGGAGAGACACTTGCTTTTAAGCTGTGAACCGAGAAGCCGTGGAGCACTAGAAGACCCAGAAGAGGTGGAGCACTAGAAGACACAAAAGACGTGGAGCACTAGAATACACGAGCTTGTCCTAAGCATGTGGAAGGTTTGGAAGTCTGCAAGTTAGGGCGATGGCTTTTCTTGAACATCTTTTATCTTTTATGCTCCGAGCACACTGCAGAAACGTTATGAACTAGTCCAACATTCTGGAACAAATACATAATAAAGAACGCTGGGTTGTAGCGTCCTTGCGATGGAGCACTCCTGATTCCTGAACGTCACCTCTCTGGATGGGTATCTTGTTGACATATGTGAACCCGTTCGAGATAACTGGGTTTCAAGCCTGGTGCGACTAAAGGGTAGATGGAGAAGGAAAGGGAGCACATTGGGTGGGGTTGCGTGGACTCCCTAGTGGAGACAAACGAAAGGAGCCTCCTACATCTTGGGGGTAGGGAGTGGGTGCAAGTGGATAGTGGAAGATTTGAACGCAGGTGGAAGTACTGTACCAAAGGCCTAGTCCGGCGTCTGCTTCAACGGGGGCTGAGCAGGGGCACAAAAGGTCCTTGCTTATCCCCCCCGGTGTCTGCAACCGGTGTGATCATGTCAACCCGCCAAGATGGTGATAAATGATGGTCCCAGGTGGTTTAACACTGGGGTAGGTCAGGAGGGGGGTAGGGGTGCACCAGGGCAATTGCTGAGAGGGAGGGGTGGGTGGGTGGGGTCTTATGAGGGGTCAATCCTAAAAACCGAATGCTCACGGTGACGGTCATTCCTCTACAAATAGTATCCAACCTATATGATATACACATCGTGATTACATGTAACGGTGTATAAACAGACCAGGGGCTCGGTATCCTGAACAAATGGATAGATAAAATGATGCGGGGAACTAAAAAGGAGAACAAAAAAAAAAAAAAAAAAAAAAAAAAAAAAAAAAAAAAAAAAAAAAAAAAAAAAAAAAAAAAAGAGGCTTGGCACTACTCTTACAAAGGGGCAAGAACGCACCGCCATCATGAACATATATAAGCTATAATCTTTCTGGCCCAGCGCAGTCATGGAGAGGGTGGGTTACCGTGGTAGTAGGGTGAGCGAGCCCCTATCTCGGACAGCGCTGGGAACGTAGTCGTAATCCCCTTCGGACATTAGTACGACGACGACACGGTAAGGCTGCTCAATGCTCATGGCATGACTCAAAGGATGTACAATAGCCTATCGTACCCTTGGAGACATATAGCCTCTCAACGGACAGCATACGAGCAACGATTAGATCTCCTTGACATGCACGTGCGTACCACATCCCACCTCTCTCTCTCTCTCTCTCTCTCTCTCTCTCTCTCTCTCTCTCTCTCTCTCTCTCT